TTTGTGTTCATGTATGACATTTTGAAACGTTTTGAGTCACATCCCTCTTCGATTGCTTCATTTCTCGTACTCATTGTCTTGAAATGTTCATCGTGATCTGAGCAGAAATTTTTCCCTGTCAACTACAGAAAAATTTCGTTTCTCACGCATAATCGTCCATTTCTGCTCATTATAAGCTGAACTGGGCCTTTTAAGGAAATCCCGCAATCGAGAATGTCATGATCGTCGTCTCGGTTGTGTTAGGGCTGCTGCAGCTTGCACTACCCGCAGCTGCTATACCTCGACGGGGCAACGAACCCTGGTCCTTGATTTTGTGCAAGTTCCGGGATAGTGACTATGAGCCGAGATCTGCAGAATGGTTCAAGGAATGGATCTCTGGCGGAAATAATCCAGGTACATTATGTTGACTTCGCTGCATCCATAGTTGCCGGTGTGCCAACGCGGTGCCAGCACCGTGCCAATGTCGATCCAGCGCATGCGTGGACGCGCCCGTTATTTATCGATGGCGGTTGCATTGATCACTAGGGACGCAGCTTTTTTGTAAAAAAAGCCGAATCTTTTTTCAGATACTATCGAAAGCTATTTCTCGTCAGTTTCTAATGCAGTCTATACCATAAAAGGTTCTAATGTTACAAAATGGTTACAACTCCCTTGGACTCGTCGCCAAGTGCTTCGAATGGCTTACATGGACCCACGCTTACAGTCGGAACGAGAACGTCCTTTTGCGGTAAGTGGGGCAAAAAGTTCCACTACCAATGTATTATAGACAAATTTTTGCTTTTTCAGATGTTCGACAAAGCCAAACAACTTTGCATTTCTTTTGCTGAGCAAAATGGGTATTATCTCAACAAGCAGAAAATTACCATATTAAATATGGAGAATACTGCGGTCTACGGGAAGGATACAGGTTATTTTACATGATGCAATATTTTCTCGGGTGTGGGCCGATTGACATGACCGTACCCGTCAGGGTTTCCACATAGGACCAATTCGCGCTACACTGCGCGGCGGCTTCTAGCTGTCGGTTATGCTGTTGTGCAAAACGGCCTCTCCCGGTTTTTTCTTATTCTGTTCAAAAACTATGATTCAGGGGTTCTTCTGACACCAAAGCTCATATTTTCATCGGTGCTAACGCATGAGATGATTCATAGCATGAACATTGGCCATTCTTATAGTGATCGCAATATACGGGTTGGTACTTACACTTATTTTTTCATTTGTACTTTTGTATTGAATCTACCGTATTCTCAGAGGCTAAAAGCACTTTTAGGTTTTTCCGTACTCCTCTCCTGGGGAATACGATGACAAATACGATCTCATGTCTACTGCTAATGCTCATATGCGGCCCTCTACTTATGGTCTTGGCGGGCCTGGCTTGAATGGACCCCATTTAGATTATCTTGGCTGGCTACCG